CTCCAGGTATTTCAATCAGAAAGAGATTTAACCCAGGGAATTAGATGCTCATAAAATCCTGGAAGGAGATGGAGGAGACGAAGTTAGGGGGCTGCCTCTTGGATTCTGCCTTCCAGGTGACTCTCCCACTGCAGCTCTAATGCAGAGGTCAGAAATTGCTACTGTCATGTCCCCTCCACCATCGAATTGGAGACTGAACAGTTGCAATATAAAATTTAGCCACAGCTGACTCCTGTCTGAACAAAGTTGGTATTTGCTTCCTATCTACCTTTCAAAACTTTCGCTGATGCATCCCAATGGAGAACATGAATTACACCCATCCCAAAGGGTTCTGGGAGATGTAGTCTGTAGACATCCAGCCCTAGGAATGCGCAGGGCAGAGTGTGGACAGGCTGGGAATAGGAGGTCTGCAATGGATTGCAAAAATGCTGATGGATCAGGTTCACTCTGTGTGTCAAAAGGAGAAAAGGCTTTGATCCAGGGATCTGGATTATTTTTTTTCCTGCCTGGTGAGTATTTTGATCCCCTTCTGAGACTAACAGCTGAATTTCTTCCCCACAGATGGTGTTCTCCTTGTATGTCATTAGCCATGTGGGCATGATCATCTCCCTGGTGTGCCTCATCGTGGCCATTGCCACCTTCTTGCTGTGTCGCTCCATTCAAAACCGTAACACCGACATCCACCTACACCTCTGTGTGTGCCTCTTCTTGGCCAAGAGTCTCTTCCTTGCCGGCATAGACAAGACTGACAACAAGGTCTACATCCCTTCAGCTGTGTCCCCATCACCTCCCCATCTGCCTCAGCTCATCCCAACTCAGCTCCCTCAAAGCCTGTTCCAACCTCAGGGTCTTTGCATGTGCTGTGCTCACTGGCTGTAACACTCACCCCAATCCCTCCCCTAGTTGGCCTTTCTTGTCATAGCTCTCAGTTTAAAATTACTTTCTGGATCATGTTATGAACTGCAGTGGTCCCGCCTATTACTTTCTACGGGGGTGGCTCTCAGCCAGCATGATTTTGTCTCCAGAGGCAATGTCAGGAGACATCTTTCATTGTCACTCCTGAGCAAGGGCCACTGTCATGTACTGGGTAGAGGACAGGGGTGTTGCTGACCATCCTGTGATGCACAGGACAGCTTCCCACAACAGAGAATGACCTGTCAATAGTGTCTTTGATCTGAGAGTCTTCTTCTTTCTATAACTCTGTCTTGTCTCCTCAGCACTTACTTAAAACCATATTTATTATTTGTGGCTTTATTTCTTGTGTCACTAAATCCTCTGCTAGACTGTGAGCCCCATGGGGATAAGAACTTGAGCCAGTTCGCCCCCTATAACTGCGCTAGACACACAGCAGGCTCCTAGGGGTTCTCAAAAAGATTACTATTAACATTTTAAATGAGACCATCATTTTTTGTGTAGAACTGCCCCTCCCTTGAGCACCAAATGCTAGTAGGCTAATCATTTAGCTAGAGATGGGCAAACATTTTCTGTAAGAGCTGTATCAGAGGAGTCCAAACTGTGGTCCATGGGCCCAAACTGATTTTGTGAGGGCTTTTTTTGTTTATTTGTGGTGTCAGAGATCATGACAATTATGCATGGACCTTTTTTTTGCTCATCAGCTTTTATTGCAGATTTACTGTGTGGCCCAGGACAACACTTATTCTTCTGACATGCAACAGAAAGAAAAAAGGTTGGATATTCCTGAGCTAGATACTACGTATCTTCAGCTTTGTAGACCATACAGTCTCTGTCATGACTACTCAACTGAGCTGTAGGAAAGCACCTGTAGAGAACAGGCACACGGGCATAGTACTGTGCCAATAAAACTTTAGTTACAAAATGGGCAGCCAGCCTATGGACTGTAGTTTTCTGAAAACCCACATCTTCAAACTCTCCCTAAAGTAGGGTGATTATCCATTTTCCCCAAATGCCTCCACATTTAGCACTGAAAATCACATGTCCTGGGAAACCTCCACTCCAGATAAACCAGGACAATGTGTCACCCTTCCAACAGAAACATTGCCTCTGAATAAAAATTACTGTGTGTCTCTGTAAATATTTGTGAAATGGATGAATAATCAGGTTTGGGGAACTCCAGTCCCTCTAGTCCCTCCCTGCCCCCTCCCTTCACCCTGCTCTCTGGGGTGGGGGATCCTGACATGCAGTCTTCTTCCCTCCAGATGGGCTGTGCCATCATCGCGGGCTTTCTGCACTACCTTTTCCTTGCCTGCTTCTTCTGGATGCTGGTGGAGGCGGTGATGCTCTTCTTGATGGTCAGGAACCTGAAGGTGGTGAATTACTTCAGCTCTCGCAACATCAAGATGCTGCACCTCTGTGCCTTTGGCTACGGACTCCCAGGGCTGGTGGTGCTTATCTCTGCCACTGTGCAGCCATGGGGCTACGGGATGTATAATCGGTGAGTGGCATCTTCTTGTTCC